TGGCAGTAATGTTGGAAAAATCTAAAAGTTCCAGAAGTCCATTAGTATGTAAGAGAGAGAGAGAGAGAGACAGAGAGATGGGGCAGAAGTTCTCCTTTACCCAAAAAAAAAAGATAAAAAAGGAAGAAGAGATAATGAAATTAGGAAAATCAACAATTTGTAACCCACAGTTGGAGTAACTGAGCCATGTTAAGAATCTTCAACAGATGCTAAAAATTATTAAGAGGTTGTTGAGAAATAGGATCTTCACAGTCTCAAAAGTATTATCCCTCTGATTATCCAATAAGTCCACTGGGGATAATACACCTTTACAGTGAAGAGATCAGGCAGCCACCATCTGTACCCAATCAAACAGCATCATCAATATTGGAATAAGCTGACATTATATATGTCGTGATGTGATGCAGTAAGCAGTACACAACACCACTTACCTATCATGACATACCCTAGCAAAAATGTTTAACCTGATTTTAGTCATAAAGAAACAGTCAGACAGACACAGCTTTGGGATGTTCTCCAAGACAGGTATTGCATACTATTTAAAGAAGTCAAGTGGTTAAAACAAAACAAGAACAGAAAGAAGGAAAAGTGTTGTGGATACTCTTTGAACTTAAACATCAAGAGACACAACCAAATGCAATACACAAGCCTAGATTGAATCTTGAATTTGAAAGAAAAAAAAATAGAGAGAAAAGAGAAGAGAAAAAGTTACAGAAAACAATTGAAGAATTGATTATAGTCCAGTCTCCTGGTTATGTAGAAGAATGCCCCTATTCTTAGGAGACGCATGCTCAAGTACTGAGTAGTAAGCGTCATGAAGTACACGGCTTAATTTATGAATAGTTCAGAAAACAGAAGGACATAAAGATGTTTTGTAATAGAGTTGCCTTTATGTATCTATCCATCCATCCAGTATCTGTAAACATACATATGATATATATTTAAATATAATGTATATACATGTACATATATACATGTAGATGTACATACATGTAACATGTAGCATACAGCTATTACAGAGAGCAAATGTAAATTTTCATTACAAAAAAAATCATTAAATTAACTCTGCCACACTGTGAGCTACCTTTCGGAGCACTGAGGAACCAGAATCATCTTAGGAAATCACTTATCATTCTATAAAACAGAATGCACATGAATTTTGCACACATTTGCATAATTCTTCTGTACAAGACAGTTTACATGACAGACTAAAAGGAAAACCTCTGTAAGAGCATGCAGATAATTTTGCCCTTTGCGTAACTATCAAATTATCCCCACACAAATGAAAACTGGTTGAAGACTTCCTAAGTACTTGTGACTGAAGACAGCAGTCATTCTGTCTGAACATTCAGCCAGTGTCAGTCAAACCCCTACTAATGGCCTTTCTAGTTGTTGTCCTGAGGCCTAAATGGAACACTGGAGAGTATACTGAGCAACAGTCTGGGCTCTAAAGTTTGCCCAGGTCTTTAATGAACATGTGCACAAGATAATCACTTTTCTATAAGCTTTTAGAAGCCAAATCTGTCTTTCAATTGGTTCCACATATTAGTACCCAAACTCTTCCCAGACTTGGGGAGAGAGATTTTTTACAAGGCACCATCCACCAAGGCTTGGGCACACCAGATGCTATTTAATTCATGCAGCTGATTTATTATACGACCACTGATTGCTACACTTCAATACCACTTCCTTCTGTTCTTTCTCTTACTTCTCTTTAAGAATTTAGAATGTCTGACTCCATAGTAATATCTCTCTATATGCTTTCCATTGTTTCATTCCAAATATTTATTTTCTAGGTCTTTTCTAGTGTTGTTTACTCACTTGGGATATAATGAAAGCTTTTATTCCATTCTGATAAATCTGTTCTCTCTTTGCTGCTATTTTCCGCCTTCCTCCTCCCCACCTCCCCCAACACACACATTTAAGGCTTTCTATTAAAAACCTCTGTCATTTCTTGCAGTCTTGTATCACTCAATAATTTCTGCTAATATCAGCAGATCAAAGTAACCATATGTGAATAAACAGGATTTAACCTTTCAATGATATGCTTTAGGACTAAGATTTATTTAGATATTGATATCAATGACCAGGAAAAATTAAAGCAAAAAACAAATATGCTATAGTATTTTTAGGTCAGTCTTCTAACTACACTAATTTATCTCCCAAACCCAAATCTGTTTTTATAAAAACTTAATTTCTAAGCAATCTATTTCTATAGCAATAGTAAAAATATTAGTGAACTTTTTTTGACACTAAACATAGAAATATTAAGATTTAAAGATGGCTGGATAAATGTATATTGATGTTTGCATAATTTATGAGGCGAACTCAAACATATACTGAGAAACTGAATCTAGATATGTACTACAAAATTTTAAAATTGCACTTGATAATTTTTGAAAATTCAAACTTTGCCATGTCTACTTCATTTACCCCACAAATACGTGTCGACCACCAAAAAGCTGTGCCAGGTCTTCCTCTGAACATGGGATGTGGCAACGAACAAAATAAAAAATATTTCCTACGCTCACAGAGCTTACTTCCTTTTTCATTTTTTTAAAGACTTCATTTATTTGAGAGTGAGAGAGAGATCACGGAGAGGGAGAAGCAGACTGGCTGCTGAGCAGGGAGGCTGACTCGAGGCTCTATCCCGGAACCCTGAGATCATGACCTGGGCAGAAGGCAGACTTTTTTTTTTTTTTTTTTTTTTTAGTATTTATTCACAAGCATGTTTATTGGGTTAGAGTCACATAAAAACTGAAAACTGATTGTTCATCAGTGGAAATAAGTGAATAGGCTATTGAATCAGAAGCTGCTTATAAAAAAAGTTACATCAGGGACGCCTGGGTGCTCAGTTGGTTAGAAGTCTGACTTGATTTCGGCTGGGGTCATGATATCAGGGTTGTGGGATCCATCCCCACATCCGGCTGCCCACTCAGTGGGGAACTGGCTTGGGATTCTCTCTCTCCCTCTGGAAGGCAGACTTTCTAAAGGGGGCAGGGGGTAAATAAAAAAGCACTGTACATTTAAACTCCGTGTTTACGATTACCTCACTGATGAGGTGGAGCAAAGACCATCAAAAAGCATTGCAGGGAGAGGGAAGAGTAAGGGCACTGCCCTGAGGTGGGTGGAGTTGGCCACCCTGGAGTACAGTCATTAGCCTTCAGCTTGGCTGTAGCTAAGTAACAGAACTGGAGAGCAGGGGCACCTGGGTGGCTCAGTGGGTTAAAGCCTCTGCCTTTGGCTCAGGTCATGGTCTCACAGACCTGGGATGGAGCCCCGCATCGGGCTCTCTGCTCAGCAGGGAACCTGCTTCCTCCTCTCTCTCTGCCTGTCTCTCTGCCTACTTGTGATCTCTGTCAGGCAAGTAAAAAAACGAACAAACAAACAAAAAAACTGGAGAGCAGCAGGAGAGGATAAGAGAGAAGTTGAGAAGGGACAGAAGACCTTATAGGCCACTGTAAAGATTTTAATGAGACAGGAAGAAACTGAAGGTTTTCAGTAGAGGCTCTCTAGTTGAGAGAACCATAGAAGCAGGAAGACCAATCAGCAGATATGGTAACAAATTCAGGAAGGAGGTAAAACACTGACTTAGTAGACTAGCGTGGTAGCATGGAGGTGGTAAGAACAGACTGGTTCTAAATACAGAGTCAAAAGCATTTGTTGATGGACTGGGTGTGGGGTATGGGATAAAGGAAGGATGAAAAGAGAACTGCTGGGTTTACAGCCTGGGGAAATTGGAAGGATGGAGCTGCTATTTACTGAAATGGAGAAGATCATGGAAAGGCAACTTCGAGGAAGAACATCAGTTCAGTTTGGACACATAAAGTTTGAAATGCTTATTAATATCCAAGTAGATAGTAATTATTATTAAAGGAAATAGCCAGAAAGAAGTCAGGAGTTCAGGGAAGAGGTCTGAACTAGAGAGAGAGATTTTAGAGTTAGTAGCTTAGGGATGGAATATAAAACCATTCAATAAAACAGAAATTTGAATGTTCTCCCTTCTTTCCATAAAAGATGAGGAAAAAAAACAAAGTTCCTTTATCTGTAGAACAGAAAATAATTAAGATGGGGCCCACTCTAAGTCCACTAAAAGTTCCCATTTTATTAAATAATAAGCACTGAACACCTACAAAATGTAAAACCCCAAGGACATTTAAAAGGCTTCAAAAAGCAATGTAAGTGTTCGGCAGAACTGCCATCTACTTGAGGAGACAGATAAATAATAGAAGGAAATGACAAAGAGGAAGAAAGGAAGGAAGGAAGGAAGGAGGGGAGGGAGGGAGGGAGGAAGGAAAAGGAAGAGAAGAAGGAAGGAAGTCAGTCAAGTGAGTACCCCTGACAATAACCATGCCCCTGGGTATTGCCTGGTCCAAGGGAAGATGGGCCAGCTGGAGAGAAAAAGGACACTTGACAATGTAGATTTATTCCTCCACAGATCACAGGTTGGCAAAATGGCAGCACGCCATGGAATGGCCAGTCACGTTGGGTAGTTCATGTTGTTCGCTCACTACCTCCGCAAGGGTTGACAACTCGGTAGACAGTTACACCACCAGCACTGGCTGAGTCAGATGGCTGGCAGGTTATAGCCACATCTCATCACCATCCAAATTAAAAAATCTCTCTCAAGATGGGCTCTGGCAAACAAGAATATTCATCTTTTTCAAGAAACAGCTATCAGATGACCCAGAATAACTGGAACAACGTGGTCTCTATAGCTACTTCCCTCCAACTTCTACTGTCTCTTTCCAAACTCTGAGTCTCCTCCCAGTAGATCTCTTGTGGTGCTCAAATAGATTTTTACAGCTTTTCTCCCTTTCACAGCTTCGGCTCTAACTTCTATACTCATATACTGCCTTCACAGCTCACCTAGAAACAACTTTATTTTAATCTTCTAGGTCACAGAAGCTATACATAACCCCATTTCTCTTCATGAGTCAAACAAAGTCATTTCCACAGGTATAAAAGACTGCTGATTTTCTTGGTTGCTGACTACCCACCATTTTCCAGAACTTTTTCTTCTTCCCACAGAACAAAATCTACTTTTAGCTTTCCTAAAAAATCACAGGAAATCAGTTATTATGGTTATTATGGAGTTAGCACTATTTTTCCCGATTTTGAATTCATTAGTACTCTCAACCATCAGTAGGTGGTAATTCAGAGCAACCGTGTTCTTCCTTAGTGCACACATTCTCATGAATATTTAAAACTTCCTCTTCAGGATGTGCTGCCAGCTTTAGCAACGGTGGAGTCAACCATCATATTCCTTCCTTTGAGGAGATCATCAAGATGTGACCACCAGCCAACCTGTGAGCTGGACCTGGCCACCGGGAGACTCCCCACCCCCTTTCCTGTCCTTGGAATGTGTATTCTGCTCATCTTCCTCACTCTCAGAAGCTGCTCCAAAGATACACCCTTGAAATAGAACTGTGGTGTTGAGACCATCTGGACTGGGTGTGTGTGACTGGCTGAACTCACTTGAGGCCTTGACATAAACTTTGAAGATTCTGGAGGCCGGGTGAGGAAAACTACTCATCTCGCAACTGCTTAAGACAAGCCTTGTAAGTAAGTTCCTTCATCCCTACAACTGCCATGGCAAATGTGAAATGGCCGGCCTCTTTCTTCACTGTCCCTGCCCTGCACACACAGTGGCCAGATTTCAGATTATACCCCAGAAGCTCCAGAGAAAGCTGTAAACCAACAAATGCCTCAGTTATGCAACGTAAATATTTTCCAATGCATATGAAGACATCTCTATGCCATGTATTGCCATTTCGTCAGTGCTCACTGCAAGCAATTTTCAAAAAGAGGATTTCGGTTCTCAGGACAGAACTGCGATCTTATTGATCTCTATCTGAAAATCAGTAATGTTCCAAGGCAGTGAGCTCAATGACCTCCCATGAATCATAGGCAAGTGGCTACAAGTGGACACTTCTTTTAGTAACCATCTCTCTTCATCTCAATGACTAGAATTAAGAATATGTTCATCACACATTCTCCATAGCCCTCCCCAAACTTATCTCCTCTACAGGGGAAAACCTGTAGAGTAGCCAGCTGTAGCTGGTCAGCTGACCAGTAGACAGCAAAGCTAAGGTGGCTATTCAGAAGAGAGCAGGGTTTCTCTTTGTTCAAAGGCACAAGACTCCTTCTGTGAAAGTGGAGAAACAAACATTCCTGCAAATGTCACTCTAGCTGACAAAGCCATCCTCTCCTCACTGCTCCTTAGTGGCTCCAACACTGGGACAAGTAGTACACGAAGAGCAATGCCAGGGAAGACGGAGTTTCAACTGCCCCTGGCGTTATCCAAGGCCAACTCCCTATTTCACAAACCAGGACAAGCCAAGAGAAGGAACGGTCATTCACATCTTTGCCCAGGAGTATCTATCAACAGGCAGAAGTTACATATGTCATCTCCTACTCTTTGGTATACAAAATGGCACATAGTTCCTAACATAATTACTAATCTTTACGGTGGGTGAAGGTCTGCTTGGTGCACGTGACAGATTAGGAAAATCAATGGCAAAATCTTGAAGTCTGGATTTGAAGGGGAAAAAAAACAATTGTAATCTTTCCTTCTTTCATCAGACTTCATAGGTGGTCATATAGGAAACTGACCTTCAGAAGATCAGCATCAGATGACTTTAGCTTATGCTTCAGGAAACAGAATCACAAAAACAAGGACCACTAATTATAAGACTCAGTGCAGCTATAGGCTAATATACTCAGGAAACAGAATTAAAGCCTCATAATGAGAATGGATTCAGAGAATGTTACAGAGGTAGAGGACATCATAAAAGTAGTAGGAGCTCGGGCGCCTGGGTGGCTCAGTGGGTTAAAGCCTCTGCCTTAGGCTCAGGTCATGATCCAGGGTCCTGGGATTGAGCCCCACATCGGGCTCTCTGTTTCGTGGAGCGCCTGCTTCCTTCTCTCTCTCTCTGCCTGCCTCTCTGCCTACTTATAATCTCTATCTGTCAAATAAATAAATAAAATCTTTAAAAAAAAAAAAAGTAGTAGGATCTCTTTAAGCTCTCAAGGTTCTCAAAAAGGTTTGAAACCAGCTCCATTATTTGCTCTCAAATAATGTAACAAGATGGGGCGCCTGGGTGGCTCAGTGGGTTAAGCCTCTGCCTTCAGCTCAGGTCATGATCTCAGGGTCCTGGGATCGAGTCCCGCATCGGGCTCTCTGCTCAGCAAGGAGCCTGCTTCTCTCTCTCTCTCTCTCTCTCTGCCTGCCTCTCTGTCTACTTGTGATCTCTCTCTGTCAAATCAATAAATAAAATCTTTAAAAAAAAAAAAAAAAAAAAAAATAATGTAACAAGAGATAATTACAAAGTCAAAAACAAAACTGTAAGAATGACTTAAAAATACAGATATTGGTGTAGAACATACATACTACCTGTAAATACTTCAAAAAATATTTAGGGAAGGAAAAACTAACAAATAATAACCCATAATTTCTTGTGTACAGCTTTTATTATGAAGATAAGCATTAAATTTGATTCTGCTGTGAGCTTCATCTTCCGAACTGGTGACCATGTCATTCCCCTAATATCTCTTACTGGACTTTTCCAGTTTTCCCAATTATCACTCATTCACATTACTCAATAATTCAGACTCACTCATCTCTGAAACATCTCCCATGCTGGTATCATGCTAGTTTTTTTTAAAAAATGAAAACTCGAACGAACCATTTTATCCCCTTTCTCTCATACCCAGGGCTCTAGCCACAGGGGCCTATTTTTAGTTCCCTGTGCAGGAGGAAATTTCACCATCCATGCCTTTGCTCTAATGCTCCATCTTCCTGGAGAGTCTTATCATCGGAGCACTTAAACAACAGCAATAAAAGCCAGTTCACAGTTTAAGGAAGCTTAAGTACCACTTCCTCAAAGAAACCTTCCATAACCTCACTGGATGACACACATGTCATGCATCTTTAATGGCACCTCTAATCTTTCACACATTGTTCACATGTCCTTTTCCCAGTGCTAGACCAACAGTTCCTGCAAGACATGTAGACATATAATCCTTTGCACCTAGGGAAATGCCTAGCTATGGGTTATGCATTTGATTTGTTTGTTTAATTCATGAATCACAAATATTATCATATGAAAGTCTGGGGTCTGGGTGCTTGTTAACTAAAATTAGGCAAGTTTATACACATGTCTGGGATTTCAGTATATTACATTAAATGAACCAAGAATATTTGAACTTTCTTTAATTACTGTAACTGACAAAACAATCAAAATGTCCCAAATTAATTAATTTGGTCATCTTATTCCAATGTATTTTCAAAGCTATTTACTGAAGTCATTCCAACAACACACTACATAAACTGATACAAATATATGAGAAAAGAGAAAGAAACTACTATAGGAATGGGACCCAAGTAAACAGATATTAAAATCTACCACAAGTAAAACACTATGCTAGAAGCTGTGAGGAAAACCAAAATGAGAAAGACAAGCCCCTGATCCTCAAGTAGAATAGTTTTATAAAGGAGGTAAAATGGTCATACAAATAATTAGAAATCAAAGCCTACGTAATTATAATACAGAGAAGACTGAACTTTAGATTGTGGTGACCAGAAAAGGCTTCATGAAAAAGCTGGCCCAAGAGTAAATGTATGACTTTGCAAGAAATGGAAAGGAAATGCATATTGTGAATAAGGGGAAGACTGGAGTAACTTAAAAACAGAGGTGCAGGAGCATGCCCAGGACCAGTGAGCCATGGACGGTCTGGGAGGGACCCCATGTGAGCATGCCTCAGAGGGTGCGGCTGGGCCAGGAAGGGGGAGGACAGGTGACAAGGACCATGGATGGTCAGCACGGGAGTGACGGCTAGCTTTTCACACCTAGAGCCGGGGCATGAGGATACACAGGCTCGACTAAGGGGGTCAGAGTCTGAGGATAAGGAAAATGCATCAAAGGCCACAGCCGTCCATTGGCTACTGAAATGCAGGCAGAGATGCTCTTCAAAGTGACTCAATGAGTTTCTGGCTGCCACAAAGAGGTCTAGTTGTGGTTTGCTTCTGCAAGGATACAATCATTCCAGGATTCCAGAATTTATGCTTTCTCCATGTTCTATAAAAATATGTATTTTACCACCTGTACAGGCAGAGGGCAAGAGAGAAACACGTACAAACGCTGCTGAAGGCCGTAGGAGTCCAGAACTTTCAAATGGTCAGCTCTGAGCAGCAGAGCACTAAAAGTTCAAAGGGTGTCAGAGGGCCAGCTTTAATTCTCACTTAAAAAAACAGCAAGACAGTCCCTTCTAGTCTGGAAGCACCTTCCCACCCACCCTCATTTCCAGAGTCTTCACAGGGAAACCCGCCCTCCACAGAGAAACTACATTCCCCCCATCACATGCATGCACACTTTTCTATAATGACGCACTGCTGCGAAGTTTACACAAAAAAAAAGACTCCCAACTGATGCCCCGGAACCAAACCTTGTCCATATATAGGTGACAGTGTTTATCTGACTGTTGGCTCACATGATGTTTTTTAAACACCGAATTGCCAATATTAAAATATGAGAGTTTCCCCCTCATAGATCCAAATTTCTAGTTTCTCTTCAAATATAGGCAATCCTGGCAATACTTCCCAGCTCCCCAGTTTGACATCCTGCCACCTCACTTACATGCAGCCCCGCCTAGTCCTTCTTGGCATTTGTTTGGGCTCCTAGTTTACGTGGCCTTTGGATCCCCAATAGTTGGGGTCCAGTCTCAGCTGGCTGTGGGAGGACGGGGCTCACAAAGAGCACTGCCTAGTGTCAGTCCCCTCCTTACTAGTTGTATAACCTGAGACAAACTACTTTAACCTCTCTGTGCCTCAGCTTCTCCTTCTGTAAAATGAGGACAATTATGATGTAATGTACTTCAGAGGGCTTTTGCGAGGAATACATTAGTTTCTAGAAAGCAGCGGTTGTGCAGGTATTGGGGCCGGTGAGATGTTTTTGGTTGTCACAACTGGGGGAGGTGTCCCTGGCATCTAGTTAGAGTCCAGGGATGCTGTAGGACGGCTCCCACAACAACAACAACAACAATTAGCCAGCCC